TCAAAAATTTAATAAATTTATCTAAATAAATGCTCATTGGTATTTATCATCAAAACCTTTGTCAAATTGCATGTTTCTTTGTACTCAAATCAACATAGAGTAATATATTTTAGGTTATTAAACAAAAAAGATTGATGTAGTTACTAAATTTATGCAAAAAAATAGTGCTGAAATATTTTAGTTATCATTTACAAATTACAATAAAACATTGTTAGATTATTTTATGTATCTTCTAAAATATGTATTTTTGTAATAAATTAACAATTTAATTTTTATATAAAATTATGCCCCAATTTAACAAAATTTACGATACCCCCTGCAATAAGCTACGTACATAATAGTATAACCGGACATAAATGATCCGAAATGGGGTAACACAAAACGATATCCGAATGGTGATACAAAACGATGATAGTTTTTTAATGAGAAAGAAATGGTAAATGATATGGAAATAGTTTAAAAACAAAACAAAGATAAAAAAAAATTAGGATTAATTTCCTCAATAACCAAAAAAACTAATAATTAAGCAACTAACTAAAATTGGCATATATGACCAAAAAAAAACACTAATAATTGAGCAACTAACTAAAATCGGCATATATGTGACAAGATCGTAACTCTATATAAATTGGTTAGGTTTATAGTTTTTGTTATTGCACGCAATTTCCCAAAAAGTTAGTATTGTTTTTGGTACCATTAAATCATTCATTGTTATTTATTTTTACGAGCGGTGACTATGTCGAACCAAATAAAAACCAGACTGGATTCAAAACAGGTCAGACAAGTATAACAACACTATCTGTTTGAATTGATGCATATTAAACCAACAAAATCACAATGAATGAAAAATGCTCAATAAATAGAGAAATGAGTTTAATTTAAGTAGATTCTTAGCAAAAGAATCTAAAAGATGAACCAATTAGTTTCTCCTCAGTGGTTTTGTCTATTTCCTCTGCTAATAAAGGAGTTAAAGTATCTCTCCATCCACCAATCTCTCCTTCCCTAAAAAATGCCTTAGTCTCCATTCCATTCACTAACTTACCTTTCTGATTAACCTCCAATTTACTCAGATTCTCAAGACTACACAACTTTATGATATCTTCCAAAACTCCATTATCTATCTCTTCCTTAGTAAATGAGCATTCCAAGAACTCAGCGATCCGCTTAACCCATTCCCTGGGCTGCTCTCTCATCTCTTCATACATAACAAACAAAACCTTTCCCGGGTTTTCTCGGCTTTCTTTCCAGTACTCTAATGCATGATCCCAAAAGGGTCCGTAAACACTTGACCCTCTGCAAAACCCTCTCACCATTTCCTCCATTGTGCATCCAGCCATCTCCTTGAGAGCTAATCTTTTCATGAAATGCCAAAGCGAGACAAAGGCATCCTTCGGGTTCCTGCAGCAATACACAAGTTTACAAGGCGAGTCCTTAATGGACTCGGGGAGCGACCCAAGAGGAATGTGTGTAGAGAAGATCCCAGGAGAAGTATCTTGAGTGTGAAAGTTGAAACCTTCTACAAACGGGACGAGGGTATGCGGATTGTTATCGAGCAGAGGATGTGATTCTAGAGGAGTTTGGTAATCCTGTCGGTAAATCAAGGCAAAGACGAGTGCTTTTAACCAAGTTGTACCTGATTTAGGACTGCTTACGACGATGATGTCTGAATCTCTAGCCTGAAAATGCTTCTGGCTATATAGAACACCTTCTAAGAGGTTTGGTGGGTACCAAAATCCTTCGTATTGATAGAGATACTCTGCGAAAAAGCTTTTGTCTTTTGGAAGAGAAGACAACAACTCCTTGCATTCTTGGTTAAATTCAGATTCTGCCAATAACTTCGATAGAGTGGTTTCGGAGTTTGTCATTGTTTGTCAAGTAGTTTGAACAGAATGCTACAAAGCACATGACTTTATATTATAACTACATAGGTTAGAACAAGCATGGATATCTTATATGAAATTCTTTTTATCAAGTTCTTAATTGGTTATTGGTTAACTACAACAAAAGTTGGTTATTGGTTAATTAGAACAAAATTTCAATAAAGATAAAAAGTATATAAATATAATTTTGTAACTCTGTTTCATTTTTCATAATTAAATAATATATATATAGATATATTTATACTAAAATACAAATTTATAGCAAATGTCAATATAGCTGCATTCAAAGGTAAGAAACCTATTGTCTTTCCTCATTAAGAAAAAGTGAAACATTAAGAAAAAGTGAAACAAGAACCAGGAAATGTACTTTCTTGATTATGAAAGAACGAAAAAAAGAGAAAGGAAGACCAAACTTTTTTACTAGAGGAAGAGAAAGCAATGAGATTCTATAGACTATAGTCCATAGGCAATTTACTGGCGAATGGCGATAAAAGGAAAAATTCAATTTATGACAAAGGAAAAATTCTACCATTCATTTTTAAAAGTCTTGCAAACAGAGAGATTTTTGAGTTTGCTTCTTTTAAGGTTCCTCTACGAAAGTAGTCCATACGAAAATTATCATATTTCTCTTGATAACACCCAAAAACATACCAACCTTAACAAGATCCTAGAAATGTGTCCGAGAGGCAGAAAAAGAAAACTCACTTTTAATCATTCGACATCAGCACCTCCCAATAGGAATGATGTTGGTGCATTATCTCCAAGCATCGGAATATACTCTGATCCTCGCACGTGAACGCTAAAGCAAGCTAATAAACAAAACAAACAATTACAAAACAGTATAAAGCGGAAACAATACTGAAAACATAAAAAAAAATTAGTTGCGTATATGAAATTTGTTCATACCATTCTCAATTTTGATCACACTTTGAAGCAACACTTCCAACTTGGATTTCATGTCGTAACTGTCATCCATCTTTGGCACGACTAGCATTAGTTCCCTATGAATCTGTCGAACAAACTGGCAAATCCGCTGCGCGAATTCGATTTCACCATCTGATATCCGACCAATTGCCATCCGCATTAGCTCTCCAGTCAAATCAGCAAGCTGCGTAAGTAAAAAACAAATAATTCATAAATCCAAACAATAGTGCAATCATTAACGGATAAAACAATAAATCAAGATAGTTAAGTACCCCAAGAAGATAGTCAAGGATATTGATCTGCAGAGGCTCTAAAGAAGGGTCATTAAGCGGTAAAAGTGTTTCGTTGATCTCATCTAGAGTAACCAATGCCCCGGATAAACAGAACTTATAAAACGTTGCAGCTTCAACATATTCCTGCACCTGTAAGTTATCCAAACAAACAAACATATCAGTTAACATCCTCAACCAAAATGGCTCCAAAAGATCAATGTTTTATCTCTCTCACATACCCCTGGAGAATAAGCTCTTCTCAGCTTCCAAAAGTCAGTTCCTTGAAGCTCTTTCATTAGCCGAGAAAAGTGTTGCTCTCTCACTGCTTCCAAATCTTTCCCAGCTTTCTCCAAAACCTCCTCTTTATTGTCTTTACTGAGTCTGCACATAACATTGTAACCCAAACAGTCAGAGTGAACCAATACCAAAGTCATCATAACAAAACATCATGTGATGTTGTTACCTGTGAACTTGAAAGATAACTTTTTTACTGTTCATGGTGATATCACGACTTGCCTTCACCACTCTTTCCCTCTTCTCATTCTACAAAGAAAGAAGATAAAGCATTCTCCTTTACACACCCAATTTCATTATATTCAAGGTTCATATCGCTACACAAAACCTACTCTCAAAGTTTCAAACACAAAAAGATCATTTCTTTAGTCCTCTACCCTATAAACCTTACCTATTGAACTCAATCCCACAACGCAAAAATCCAAACTTTTTGTTAAAGCTTCAATCTTTTTAAACAAGAGATAAACCCAGAGAAGCATAGGGAGAAAAAGCTTACGAAGTTATTGAGATAATCAGCGTAAGTAGAGAAAGCATCTTTAATGGAGGATTGAGTACTCATCGTCCTTGCTCTCTTAACCAATTGCTCAGCACCAGTCTCTGCGACTACACACAAACAAAAATCCAAAACCCTCGTTACGGATTTACACTAAATAGACCCCTCAGATCATAAATGCTATTCACAAAGCAAGGACTTACTTTGGTGGAGTCTCTGAGGTTTCAATTTGGGAGCCATGAGCAAAAAGGCTACTCTTTGAAACGCCGACGAACAGCCAAACATCTGTCTGCTTTCTTCTCCGATACTCGGTCCATATTCCAAAGGGGTTAATTCGAGATGCTCATGTTTTGATATTTAAATCGCTAAACCAGGTTTTAACGGCATCAGGTGCTGTAGTGTAGTGGTTATCACGTTTGCCTTACACGCAAAAGGTCTCCAGTTCGATCCTGGGCAGCACCATTGTTTCATTTTTGTACTCTCGCCTTTTAGTTTTTTCTTGGGTTAGATTTTAGGGGAAATTGCAAAAATATTACTTTTATGTGCATATTTCCAAAAATGCCACACTTTTGACATCTTTACAAAAATGAC